TTTCTCTGGTGAGCACCCTATAGCAAAAACCTCTCCAAAAAAAAAAAAAAAAAAAGACTGAGTTTATATTAGAAAATCAAGCTTTACACATATTTCAAGTAATACAGTTTGTTTCCTAACCTGGTATGGCTATGACTTAACTGCTACATATACTTGCAAAAACAAACAGAGGGCAAAATCTTAGTAGCCTTAGCGGTCTTTCTAGACCATATTAATTTTATTTTTTGGTTAAATAACAAAGAACAGAATTATGAATAGAGTTCAGCAACGAGCTTTCCATTAGGATATGAAATCATGCCATGAGTTCCAAAAAAGGGTTAGTTGTATAAATTTGGGAAGTAATCACTCATGCAAAAATCAGAAAATACCTGTACCGAGCCACCATGTCTGTCTGCTGCAAGGTGAGCTCTCAAATGGTGGGGATTTGCCTGCTGGGAGTCCCAAGCTGCCCTGTGGTCTGCCGACTGCCATTTATTTAATGCATATGGCATGCATGGAAGAAGAAAAACCCAATATGTTAAACATCTCATTCTCATAATAGATAAAACAAATGTATAAAAGGAAATTCAAAATACCCTTACTATTCTGATTCATCATAAGTGCAGTTATCTTTGCATAGGGAATATGGAACGATTTTAGTTAAATTGCTAACTTATGTAATGATCAACACTAAAAATAAAATGGAATTATAAAATTTTAGAATTAAAAGGACTTTACATATCATAAACTTAACCCTTTAACTTTATAAAATGAAGTTAACTAAGAAACAGGGAGATCAAAATGACACACCCAAGAAAGCACTCCAAATAAGTCTGAGTGCACTAAAAAGCCATTCGCTATATTTTCATACTGTTGAGGTTCCTGCAGGTTTTTTGATAAGGAGTTATCCTTAGTAAGGTAAAGTGGTCCTTAAATAGTTGTATTTGAGATCTTAGAAATATTTTTTCCTATTGTTTAGTCCTCTGTTTTTGATTGTTAGGATAACACAAGAAAACAGCAAAGCTCTTTGAAAAGTGAGAAACACTACATAGAATACTATGAAAATATGACAAAAGTAGTGTATTTTGTTTAAAAGTGATAACCTTACACAGACGAATCCTTTCGCTTCCTGGATCTATTTTTATCTGGTTCAAACTAAGGAATCCATTTCTATAAAACAGGCTAAAAATGTTTGATGTTTTTAGATCCCTTGGCAAACATATACGGCCATAACCATAAACTATAATAATCTACTAGTATAATTAATAATAATTTCTTATGAGGGGACAAATTATATGTGGGCAGCACTAATAGAGGGAAAAGAATAAGTGTTCAAGTTCTTAGCAAATGTGTGGTTCTGTAGTCCTGCTCTGCAGGGACTACCTCATCTGAGATGGATGGAACTGTCCACCTTTCACGGAGGCAGACGCGGCCACACTGAACACTTCCCTCGGGTCACAGAGCTCTCAAGCAAAGAGATTCCAACGGCAGAGATTCCAACTCAGAGCCTGCTTCTCTCCCCATAATGCTACCTAGTTCCTCACAACTACATCTATGCTGAAGCCTCTGGGGTTCTTCCCTTCTCTACCAACCAAAGAAAAGGAAAATCTTGCCACAAAGTGCTAAGCACACCAGAGACCAGAGCAACCATTTGGGGCAGAGCGGTGACAATCAAGCAGACACACACATGAACATGCTGGCACTAAGCTTCCTGAATTGAACTATGCAACCCAAGGCTACACACTCTGACATGAAGTACGCCACTGAAACCACCATGACACTTCTAGGTTTCTTCACCAAACCCTCCAAATTTACCATCAGAATTCAGCAGATCTGTAGTTTAAATGGAAATAAACTAGATGAAATTCAATCCAAATCAGACAGAAGAATGAAAATGATGCTAAAACTGAGACTATCTAGGGCAACAGGAAATATCTGAGAGTCACAGAACGCTAACGCAGTAAAAGCTGTGTACACTCTCTTCAGAGTAACAGTTCGACATACCCAGTATTTTATGTATGATTTCTGAATACCCTGAACTTCAAGCGTTGGTTCTCGATCACTAGTCATTAATCTGGGGACATTACGAAGGCTTTAGTCAGTTGAAAGAATCTCTTGTTTTTTCCCCTTTGGCACTGTGAACTGTGGGTTACTCACAGAAATGAAACTGCTTACTGGTTCATAGATACATATTTAAGAATAGATTTTCCTGATACATAACTTATCTATCATGATGAGAACCTTTATATTCAGATCCCAAATTCAATATATAAGTCTATAATAAAGGATTTCCTGAAATTTTATATATATATCTAGATATATATGTATATCTATATCTATATACAGATATATAAATTTATATATCTGTATATAGATATAGATATACATATATATCTAGATATATATGTATATCTATATCTATATACAGATATATAAATTTATATAAATTATATATCAAGAGTTGATTTTCTTGATACATAACTTTTCTATCATAATGAGAATCTTTACATGCAAGTCCTAAATTCAATTTATAAGTCTATAATAAAGGATTTCCTGAATTTACATGTACTTATATATATAAGTAAGTTTACATATACTTATATATATATATACACACACACGCACACAGATATTTTACATGTATTTTCTTTTCCCTACTTTTGGTGCACAGATACAACATGGTTCCTATCCTCAGTGACCTTACATTCCAGCTAGCAAGCAAGACATGTCTGGAACATGTAGAAGGTCTAAAATAATTTATTTTTCCATTTAATTAAACAATAAGAGATTCACTTATTACAATACTTAACAGCTCATGTAGAAAATTCAGAGAACACCAATTATTGAAATTAACTCTGGTTTATAAAACACAAAATCTAAGTCTTGACTTTTGAATGATTTTTTTTCTCTATATATAGCTTCTCATCAGGGTATTCAAATTATCAACTAGTTGTAATTTATATTTAAAGTAATTTATATTGAGGTCCGTAACTGCACCAACTATTCGAGTCAAAATTTTTACCCTAATTTTTTAATTGGTTGTACTTTATTTAGAGCAAAATCTCGTTAAATATGCCCTAAAATGTAACATTTTATTTTGCTACGGTTTTTAAGCTTCCCTTGCATGTTGATGGAATAACAGATGTAGACATAAAAAAGGAATCATATACTATCCTTCTCTTAAAATGGTTATGACCAAAAATTTCTAGACACTCTTAAACCTCAGGGTGAGGGTAAAACGTCTCAGTCAATGATTGCATTTTCAATAAAGTTTCTTCTACAAAATGAAAATACTATTTGAAAATTTCAGTGACTTTTCATGTCTTGACCTAGGAAACATGAACTCTACCTCTCAATCAACGTTCTATGCTTCCTCTCAAACCTACTCAGCTCCCTCTCCACGTCAACTCTACCTTCTCTCTCCTCCACGTAAATCGGACAGACTGCTATTCCTCAAACAAATGCTACATTTTAAACTTCTGCTCTCTATTTTAAAATGTTCACTCCCTCCGAAATTCCCTTATTCCTTCAGTTGCCTTCAAAAATTCCATTAATTTCTTTAGGCTCACCTCAAAAGATACCTTTTCCTTCAAACTCTTTATCTCCACAACTGATCCTCCACGGCACTTTATTAATATGTTTTATATGATGTAGGTTATTCTAACTTGAAATGCAGTATTTATACATTTATTATAATACTCACGAAAACAGTAACACCAGCCCCAAAAATTAAGTTTTATTGAAGGCTTACTATATGTCTGGAATTAACACGTATTATTTCTATTTTATAGATGAGAAGACTGAGGCTTTGAGAGCTTAATTTGCCTGGGGTCAAGACAGATTCATGTGTCTGACTCCAAAGACTAGTGAGCTCTTAACTACACTACTTTAACCTCTCATTCTAAATCACTTCTCAGAGCTTACCCTTCCTCACATCTGCATTTCTACGAGGTGACGAACAACAGCTTTTAAACAGCAGAACCTCAGTACAAATTTACTGAACTAGATTATAACTAGAAAGACCAAGCCCAAATTCATTCCAATATGGTAAGCAAATACTTCCATGCTAATCAAATATTAAATAACTCTCAATGTTTACACTGATTTATACCATTAATTAGGAATTTAATCTTAAGCATTTTAGTTATTATTAAACTAGTAAATAAAAGAAATTAGAGAAAATAGTCCATCTATTGAAAAATGTATGTATTTCAATCCTTTGATAGCTGCATTATGTTCTTTTTATCTACTGAAGAAAAAACTATGCATTTCAGTCTGAAACAAATTAAGGTATGTCATATCTAAAAGGGCAGCAAACCTGGTTTTTGGATTGTTGCATCTTATCTCTGTGTGGATGTGCTTCTCTGTTCGATGACAAAGCAGGATCTTGTTGAACTGTACCCACTGGTGTAGGCTACAACACAATAACAATTGGTATTGATACATTCTACTTCAGAAATTTTATTTAAAATCATTTGTCTAGCAGTTTAAAAGAATAAAAAAAGGACATCATTAAATAAATTAAGGCTTTAAGAAAAAAATACCAACTTCAAAACATGTTGTTAAAGCTAATGAGAGAACAAAGCAACTTTTAGGTGTTTCTAGAATATTGAAATAGTTTTCATTAATTTTTGTATCAATAAAAGAGAGAATTAAAGTCATTACCTTCAGCTTACTTAGTCATATCAAACCAAAAGAATATACTCTATTTCTAAAGCTAATACACACACAGAAAATGTCATTTAGAGAAAATAAAAAGAATAGCTTTTTTAAAAAAATTAAACTGGGATCAGCAGTTAGCGTAATGGCTATGTTGCTGGACTCCCACGTAGTTGACCGCAGTTAGTGTCCCGGACCCAGTGGCTTAGACTCACACCCGGTGTGTGTGCGTGCGTGCCCAAGATCCCAAGAGGGGAAAGGAGAAGGGACTGCGGCGTGGCCATTTCCCCGGGGAGGTGATTTCTCGCTTTCTATCTCTCTGTCTCTCTGCCTCTGTCTTTCTAGTGAGCGTACGTGCCCTATAACAAAAACCTCAAAAAAAAAAATAATTAATTAATCAAATGGTTTATCTTCTATAATTTGACTCAGGGAAGAGGCTCACAAAAACTTTGAATTTTCAGGAACCAGCAGTTAGCGTAATGGCTATGTCGCTGGACTCCCATGTAGTCGACCGCAGTTCGTGTCCCGGACCCGGTGGCTTAAAACTCACGCCGGGCGCGTGTGCGTGCGTGCCCAGGATCCCGAGAGGAGAATGGAGGAGAAGGGATTGCGGCGTGACCATTCCCCCTGGGGGGTGATTTCTCGCTTTCTGTCTCTATGTCTCTCTCTGTCTGTCTGGCGAGCACACGCGCCCTACAGTGAAAATCTCTCAAAAAAAAAAAAAAACTTTGAATTTTCATCAAAGTGAAAACTAATCATGAGACAACATATAAAAAGTTGCGCTTGACATTAGTGTCTAAATCAGGATAAATACTTCAATACAGCATCATTTTAAAAAGCACAGGACCCAAATATAGGACTTTGATAAAATTCAAACAATTGTTTTTTCAGTTTTTTTTTTTTTTTTTCCTGTAGGACAAGTATGCTCATTGGAGAGAGACAAAAAGAGACAGAGAGAGAGCAGGAAAGTGAGGAATCTTCCCCCAGGGTAGATGGCCTCACCACAATTCCTCCTCTTCAGTCTCCTCTTGGGATTTTGGCACTCATGCCCAGTGTGATGTTCAAGCATCCGGTCTGGGACTCAAATCACATGTTGGCCATGGGGGATACAGCACCTTCACCTCCAGTGAAGGTCCAGTGGCTGATCCAAAACTCAAAGAATTTTATGAAAGAATTGGCATGCATACTTTGGAAAACCATAGCTTACACTACCAAGCTGTACAATGATAAAATGTAAGTAAGTAAATAAACACTAATAATATTTAAAAAGAAAAGAACAAAGTGTGAAGAAGAAATGCCCTAAAAAAAGAAAATGAAGTGAATTCTACTAAAAAAGTATTTGTTCTCAACTCTTTACAGTTGAGGAATCTGCACTGTTAAAAAGAAGAATAAAAGCTATAGATAATATTTTATTATAGAGTATAGAGTACTCACCAACTGTTTACCAATCCAGTCATATTCATAATCGAACATGTATCCTTTTCGATCAAACAAGTCAGTAAATAGCTTCCTTAGGTAGTCATAGTCTGGCTTTTCAAAAAAATCTAGCCTTCTTACATAACGAAGATAGGTTGCCATTTCTTCTAGAAAGGACATAAATATTTTTTCTGACTATACTTTTCTGTAATACCCAGTAATAAAATTATTTAAATGTCTAAAAGCACATTACCAAAACTGGAAAAAGTAACAAAATTCTATCGCAATTTAAAACTTGGAGTTGAATTACAATTAAAATAAACAGGGGAAAAGAAAGTCGGGACAAAAGAGAAGTGAGAGGTATAGTTTAAGAACTAGTTATTTTGCTTCATTTTATTCAGAAAGGTTAAAAGTTTTACTTTATAGTAATATTTTTAACAGAAATCTTGGATGGTATTTGAGGTTAAATTGGCTTAATAATGCATGATTGTTTAATTACGAAGCTTCGTATACTACTGATAAATCTAAGAATGTATTTGAAGTATTGATAGACATCGATCTATGTGACAACATCTGATAAATCTAAGAATGTATATGAAGTATTGATAGACATCGATCTATGTGACAGCATCTGATAAATCTAAGAATGTATTTGAAGTATTGATAGACATCGATCTATGTGACAGCATCTGATAAATCTAAGAATGTATATCAAGTATTGATAGACATCGATCTATGTGACAGCATCTGATAAATCTAAGAATGTATTTGAAGTATTGATAGACATCGATCTATGTGACAGCATCTGATAAATCTAAGAATGTATTTGAAGTATTGATAGACATCGATCTATGTGACAGCATCTGATAAATCTAAGAATGTATTTGAAGTATTGATAGACATCGATCTATGTGACAGCATCTGATAAATCTAAGAATGTATTTGAAGTATTGATAGACATCGATCTATGTGACAGCATCTGATAAATCTAAGAATGTATTTGAAGTATTGATAGACATCGATCTATGTGACAGCATCTGATAAATCTAAGAATGTATATGAAGTATTGATAGACACCGATCTATGTGACAGCATCTGCACTAGCTGGCTGGTTTTCCTCCACAGTCAGTAACACACACTCACCAGGGGAGCATTCAAATTCCTAACCTTAACCATGCGCAGTGTTCTAACCAACTGCTAACGAAGCTTAGAACTTGAAATTACGAAGCTTCGTATACTTCTGATAAATCTAAGAATGTATTTGAAGTATTGATAGACATCGATCTATGTGACAGCATCTGATAAATCTAAGAATGTATATCAAGTATTGATAGACATCGATCTATGTGACAGCATCTGATAAATCTAAGAATGTATATGAAGTATTGATAGACACCGATCTATGTGACAGCATCTGCACTAGCTGGCTGGTTTTCCTCCACAGTCAGTAACACACACTCACCAGGGGAGCATTCAAATTCCTAACCTTAACCATGCGCAGTGTTCTAACCAACTGCTAACGAAGCTTAGAACTTGAAAACACAGCGCAGGAGCAATGTCTTCTCTGAATTTCTAGCCAAAGAATAATTTTGGGTAATACACAAATCTCTGTAAGCCACTGTAATTTCCAAATGTCTTATATTTACACTTATATCACACACACACACACATAGATGTAATTTTTTTAAAGGTCATGCTCTCCAGAAGGAAAGAGGAAAACGACATAAAAACGAACAGGAAAAATGATAAGCAATTAGTAAAGCAGAGTGTTTCTCCACCAGGGCACAGGAAGTCGCTGCAGTAAGAAATGATGGGTTACACACAGCTGCTCTTTGGCTCCAACTCATTCAGCATGGCAGTCAGTAAGAAAAGGATCATGCCCAGCCCAAGGGGCCAAAGAAGTAGTTAGGACTCTGTGACCTTTCTCACATAGTAATTCTCCCACTACTCTTCTTTCTACTGAATCACCTGACAACTCTACTTTGGTACCTTCGTGTTTCCTGCACAGCTTTAGATAGGCATCTTAATGATGGCCAGCCAGTCTGCCTACACCTATACTGCTAGTGATTGCCCACTTTGGGATGCCACAGCAAGAAAGAAATGGACAAGATTAAAGTCTGCTGTCAATGAGCACTCTAAGCAGTCCTGAGGAAGAGCTATCTCAGATAGTGATGGTATTATTAAAACAATAATGTCAGCATTGTAAGGGAAAATTAGTGAATAGTGAAGTGAGAAAGGAACTGTCTGTCTTGTAGATTCATATTCAGTTCTGGGTCACTTACTGTTGCTGTACAAATCATACCAGGTAGTTTAATACATTAACAACAAATTATTCTTACATATTACTGACTTAGAAATATTTAATAAAATTGTATTGGCTATAGTTATCATAAATTTACTTATTGCGCTGTTGAAAAAGTCATGACACATTTTTGCACAGAGAAACATAAAAAAAATCATGACTTTCCTAATGATCTAATTAATAAAACAAAATTGTTTTCATAAATGCATATAGCTCCCAAAATGAAATCAGTGTAAAAGAAGTCGGGTCCGTAAGATTTCATTGTACTTTGAAAACTAAACAAAGTCACAGTTCATACCTCTCCTTTAAACTTGACATTGATTAAATGACTAACATTGCACACCAAAACGTTATAGCTGGTATTCTTGGAAAATCTTTTAACTCATTAAAAGTGTGCTGCTGGAAATATTACTTCAGTTGATACTGATCAACACTATTATAAGAGGGATTTTCTTCTGTTAATACCTTTAAGGCATATACACAAATGAGCCCTGTGGAGCATGTAGCAAATGCCGACATCTTTGAAATCGCATTTGAGCTCACAATTTTTTAAAGAATGAAAAATAAATACATAGCGAAACAAGGAAAATGAGCAATTTCTGATTTTGAGTTTAAACTATGCATTAATTGGGCATTATTCTTTACCGGGAAAATTTTCACATAACACTTCTATTGGTGTCGCCCGTTTTGTATCTCCGATTTTCTGATACCTCTCTTTTAATGTGTCAGCCTAAAACAGAAAAAAGAAATAGAATGTAATCATTTGAAAATTATTTACTTAGGAGAAGGAAATTTATTATATACCAATATTTAATGAAATTCAACAAAGATAAATAAAAACAATTACCTTTAAGCCTTGCCAAGGAAGACTGCCTCTCAGAAAATACATGAACATATGACCTAGCGCTTCTAAATCATCTCTTCTACTTTGTTCTGAAATATAAGGAAAAAAATTTCACTTTTCTCTACCACTTAGAACTATAAGAATGGAAAATTGATTCTTTCATTATGTATGAATTTCTTTCCAAAGTTTAATATATAAATACAAAATAGAGATTGAATGCCTATAAATGACAAAATCATGTCTAGTTAAACTTTAATGGTTTTAAACTAAAATAATTGTCCATCTTTAAAATATGCCGTTATGTTTTGTTTGTTTTTGTTTCTTTTTTTGGAGAGGTTTTTCCCTATAAGGTGCATGTGCTTGCCAGAAAGACAGAGAGAGACAGAGAGACAGAAAGCGAGAAGTCACCCCCCAGGGGGGACGGCCATGCTGCAATCCCTTTTCCTCCATTCTCCTCTCGGGATCTTGGGCATGCACACACAAGTGCCCGGCATGAGTTTAAGCCACCAGGTCCAGAACTCGAACCGTGGTCAACTACATGGGAGTCCAGTGACATAGCCACTACGCTAACTGCTGGTCCCCCATTATGGTTGTTTAGATGCTTTGGAGCCTGGTTTACCTGCTTAGATATCTACCCATACAATTACAGATCAAGAGAAAAAAATGCTCCATGGTTAAACAGTCACTGTGTATTATGATTCCATCCTAAAGATTTAAAACACAAGAATGTTGATGGCTCTAAGAAGCCCTAGAGGTAAAAATGGTTAACTTTATTTAATGTTGCGTTTCTTAGGTTTACATGAGCACAAAACTTCCACCCCATGTATTCTTCATTAACATTAAACATAATTAATATTGTGTGTAATATATTTTAAGAAACACTTATATCTGACATATACCAACATTAATAACCCTTCCACTGTAACCAACAACAAAAAAAGGTTCCAGAACAAATTGTCATTTTTTTTGGGGGGGGGGGTTTGCTATAGGGCGCGTGCGCTCACCAGACAGACAGAGAGAGACATAGAGACAGAAAGCGAGAAATCACCCCCCAGAGGGGATGGTCACGCCACAATCCCTTCTCCTCCATTCTCCTCTCGGGATCTTGGGCACGCACGCACATGCGCCCGGCGTGAGTTTTAAGCCACCGGGTCCGGGACGCAAACTGTGGTCGACTACGTGGGAGTCCAGCGACACAGCCATTATGCTAACTGCTGGTCCCACAAATTTTCATTTTCAAGCTGTATTACTGGATTGTTGAAAAAGTCATGACATCTTTTTTTATATACAAAAATGCATCACAACTTTTCCAACAACCCAACAGTACCAAAATGTTGTACTGCACTTAAGTGAGTGATAATCACAGACTAAGATTCAAGGAGATACTTATAAGTTGCTGACTGAATATTTCAATTTTTTTGTCATGTAAGTTCAACACTACAGATTTCTAGATGTTTTAGGGCTGGCAGGTGGCAGGAAGGTTAAGGCACTGGTCTCTCTCAGGGCCGAACATAGTTTGAGTACTGGACCTAGTGGCTTGCTTTCTCAATTTCCCTCCCTCTTTCTCTCTTTCTGTCTCTCTCTGGTCAAATTGAATAACAATAAATAAATAATTCTTTTTTTTTAAGTTTGTAGATGTTTTAAACTAATACAAAAATGCTGTAAACAATGAGAGAAAAATAACATTTTTTAGTAAGAGGACAGTTGCATGCAAGATGTTTAATCCAAACAAATAATCATACTATTTAAGTAGTACTAAATGTTTTCAAAAAAGTATACTTTTCGAAGTACGGGTCTGAACTAACATACAAGTGTCAGAAAAGGTTTTAATGTTTACTATGGACTCTAGCAACATTCTGTACTTATCTTCCATAACATTTTGCTTAAAGAGATCTTTGTTCTATTATTTAATCAAAATCGATCCTTTCACTGGACTGCAAGGTGCAGAAGAGATGTCTCTTTGGCTCCATACACTCAGAGCGGTCCTGGGTGGCACACAGCAAGCACTTGAAACATAATACTGAAATAAGTAAATGAATATTTGAACATATCTAGTACTATAATATATATGTCTCTTTTTTCTTCTTTTTCTTTATTTTTAGATACAGAAGTGTGCATGCTAGCCAGAGAGATGAAAGAGACAGGAAGCAAGAAATCAGCCCCGGGGGGATGGCCATGCTGCAATCCCGTCTCCTCCATTCTCTCAGGATTTTGGGTACACACATGCATGTGCACGCGTGTGTGCACACACACACACACACACACACACACAGCTGTGATTTTCAAGCCCCCAGGTCCAGGACTCAAACTGCAGTCAACCATGTGGGAGTCCAGTGTCTTAATCACTATGCCACCCGCTGGCCCCTATGCCCCTTTTCTATAAGTGTAGGGGAAATATCTAGAAGGATATGCATAAAAATAATGTATATCCCTCATCAGGGCTCTGAGATGGAAGACTGAAAAAGGAAGTTCAACTTCTCATTTTCACCATCCTCGAAATGTGATCAAAGGGACTTTTTTCCTTGTATTTTGTTAAACAATGTAATATAAGCTATTAAAAGCAGCAAAATTTCCCAAAGTAAACTTTAAGTTCATTTTAAATTCACTCATAGAGATGTGACTAACACCAAAAAGACCAGTAACGACCTTTAAAACCAAGATATCAATTCATTAGATTCTGGGAAACTTAAGAATAAAAAATCATCCAAAGAGAAAAAAATTTCTGAACTCTGGTTGAAGAGTCAGATTCACCTTTGAAACTATTAAAAACCTCAGATGAGCAGGTCTACCGTTTGGCAACTGATTCTTTCATTGTGAAGAGGGATAAAAGGAATGTGTGTGTTTGTTTTTTTTCCTTAAGGTTTTTGCCATAGGGCATGTGGACTCACTGGAGGAGAGGAGAGGGGCAGAGAGATAGCGAGGGAAAGTGAGTAGTCCCCGGGGGTGGAGAGGGGATGGCTATGCCGCAATCCCTTCTCCTCCGTTCTCCTCATGGGATTTTGGGCACAGGTGCACACATGTCCTGCACTGAGCTTCAAGCTACCAGGTCTGGGACTCAAACCATGGCCGGCCATGTGCGATATAACCACTATACCACCTGCTGGCCTCAGGAATGTGCATTCTTTAAAGCTTAGCAGATGACTCTGAAGTTCAGCCAGTCTTAGAAACTGCTGAAAGAGAAATAGGGGCCAGAAGGTAGAGCAGCAGTAAAATGCAACACTCCTTGAGGCTGGCCCACATGGGAAGAGTCCAGATTTGCGTTCAGAGACCATCCTGACTATTTCAGGCATGCAGGTGCCCATGACCCGGGGTTGGCTGAAGCTAGGGGCAGACCACAGCATCAAGAGCTTGTTGGGGGGTATTGTTGCCTCTCTCTTCCTCATATTCATCAAAGGGGAAACTAGGGGCAGACCACAGAATCAAGAGCTTGTGGGGGGGTATTGTTGCTCTCTCTCTTCCTCATATTCATCAAAGGGGAAAAACAAAACAACTTCTTTTCACTAAAATATACTTTACATGTAATAAATTGTACCCACGAGGGTACAGTTTAATGACTTCTGACAGCACATACACTTGCATAACTACCACCGCAGTCAAGCAGCTTTTCTCACTCAGAAACAGCCCTCAGGTGCCTTGCCTGGTCCTTTCCCATCTCACAAAACCTGCAGCCCTAACAACCACTTAGCTGCTTTCGTCATTACAGATTAGATTTGCTTTTTTTTTTTTAACAATTTCATGTGAAGGGAATCATATGGTATTACTGGGGCTTAGAAGACGATACCCCAAAGTGCAAGACTGAAAAGCAGAGTTTCTTTCTGACCTATTTTCCTGCCTCTTACCCCTCTTACTCCCCAAGGCAAGCCACGGAAACCAGAACCTCTACTTCCCAGCAGAAGCCAGAGAGACCACATCTCCTCCCAGGGCTAGCCATAAAAATCTCAAGACAGCACTCTAAGTTTCTCTGCCTTCCTGTATAAGAGCTGTCATAAAGACATTTTCTGGCTTTCCTTATCTGATATTAGATCGTAAGACCCCTCCCTTTCCACTGGGGACCCGCCTCATTCCAGAGAAGGAATGCTGCACAGACAGACCGAGAAGAACCTAGACAGACAGAAGCTGTAGGCTTCTCTTGGTCTATTTCCATGAGCTCAGACCCTGTTTGGTCAATCACACTTCTACATGGCTGTCCCTAAGTATAAAATCAGGTAGTTTCCTTTCTATCTTTGGGTTTTCAGTCTGAAGGCTTAAATCAAATAAATCTGTATGCCTTTTCTCTTAATCTGCCTGTTGTGGGTGATTTTTCTTTCTTCATTTTTGGAGAGTTCTTTTTTTTTTTTTTTTTGTGCTATAGGGCATGTGCGATCGCCAGAGAGACAGGGAGACAGAAAGTGAGAAATCACCCCCCATGGGGGATGGCCACGCCGCAATCCCTTCTCCTCCATTCTCCTCTCAGGATCTTGGGCACACACGCACACGTGCCCGGCGTGAGTTTAAGCCACCGGGTCCAGGACTCGAACTGCGGTCGACTACATGGGAGTCCAGCAACATAGCCATTACACTAACTGCTGGTCCCTGTTGTGGGTGATTTTCAGCAAACCTCAGAGGTACAGTATTCCTTCACCCCTCTTACATAGACTCGTACAAACTTTCCTGTGGTCTGTTTTCAGGATTTGTCCCCCGTTACATGCACCTGTAGTTCCTTTCTTTTTGGCAGCAGGACCACACAACCTATCCACATATCCACCTACTGATGGGCCCTGGGTAACTTCCACTTTGGGGCGATCTTAAAAAAGGCTGCTGTGAACACCCTCATACAAGTCTTTGGAGGAACTGTCCTGACTCCTTTTGGGTAAATATCTAGGAGTGGGCTGCATCATGTGGTAACTATAGGTTTAACTTGGTGAGAAACTTCTAACCTGTTTCACAAGGGACTTGCACCACTTCGAATTTCCACTAACAATGTATGAGATTTCTGGTTGCTTCAGAGCCCATCCAGTATTTAGTAGGGTCAGTTTTTAAGATTTTAGTCACACCATGGGAACCAGCAGTTAGCGTAATGGCTATGTCGCTGGACTCCCACTTAGTCAAC